ATATGTATCATCCTTGACTCTATAAAACTCAGAGAAGCTCTGTTTAATGTCTGTAGAATGTCTTTTTGCTTTCTTATTTCCATATTGTAAGCCATCCCATTCATTTAGAATATTGTGTCTAGCCTTAAAATTTTCTTTAAAATCCTGCCACTTTTATGAAGCATTTTCCTAGTTGTGCCATCACAATTCTCCCCCCTGCCTAAGAATTTTGATAGCACTTAATTTGTATATCCCTCACTTGGCATTGTTATGTTGCCTTGATTTATAGTTTCCCAATGCCACTTAAATATGTATGTATATTTTTTTCAGGTGACTTCAAGCACCTGGAGACTAGAGATTGTCTTTCTTTTTGTTACCACAACATTTAACCCAATGCTCTAACACGTGATTGTGCGTGCAGTGTGATCAGAGACACCATGTGTGTCAAGTGAAGAAGAGAACTTCTGGGACAGAAATGCAGTATAGTATCCTAGAAAATGCAATGGTTCTGAAGTCAGAAATGAGTTCGTCTCCCAGCTCCACCAGATGTTAACTGAGACATTCAATTCTGAGACTAGTATCCACATTTTTACGAGGACTTCATGAGAAAACATCTGGAAAAAGCAAACCAGGGCCTAGCACTGAGTAAATGCTCAATAAACATCAGTTTCCTTCACGTCAGTTGGATTCTGGGAAGAAGGAAGGATGGATGGGATGGCCTGATTTTGGGGCCTCCCAGCTTCAGCTTGTGCAGGTCCATGAGAACACAACCGAGAGTGAAGCACTCCTTGTCAGTGCTGGTTTTCTTTCCATATTTATTCTTGAAATCCTTAGCATTTAGCCTACTTTTATTATGTCCCAACCCTCTTCTCTAGAAAGCTCACCACTCTGCTTTCTCTGCAGCCCCCAAGCTAGAATATTAGTCCCAGAACCTTAAGTCCAGAAAACTTACCTTTCCTATCCTCCCATTTCCTAGGCCTGACATCATCTTAGTAACACTTCCTGAAGATGTGTGACCCTTCTAGGGTTTCAGATCTCAGCAGACCTGCAAGGAGACCATCCCTCTCCTCCTCAGCCCTCACCAATACTGCCTCCCAGCCCCACAGATACTGTCAGAAAGCTCAGGAACAGCGAATTGAGCAGCAAAGAGGCCAGGAAGAGCCCAGAGGGTTAACCACTACTACCTCCATATTGAGTCTGAAATAAGTCAAGGGTCGTCTAATCTGGAAGGAGAAGAAAAGATTAAAGGCTCTCTCCATTTTCTTTAGATGTAGAAAATGGTCTTTAAAACAAAGAAACACAAAAAGGGCCAAATGCAGAGTCCTGACCCAGAGGAGTTGTCCTCTGCCTTCACTGCCACCACTAGCAGCTGCACAGGTTCCATCAGGGCTGCAAGAGCTGCTCTAATAGTGGAGAAGGGGAAAGGGGAGGGATGAGTCAGCCGGAGCTGAAAACAGAGGGTTTTGTTCAAAGAGAAGAAAGCTGTGTTGCAAGCTCTGGGGAACAATGTGCTCCCTGTATCTTCACCCCCTCCCCACCCAGGAGGCCTCCACCTCTGTCTTCTCCCCACACCCTGGTCGGTCATTGACCACATCTCTGGTCAGGAGCAGGGCAACAGAAGAAGCCTCCCAAGAGCCTGTGGTTTCCACCTGGCTATTCTCCACTCAGCAGCTTTAACCTTCACTACCATCCTGACCTTCCCCCTTCTCAGAGGTCAGGAGTGACTCACAATTATTCCTAATTTCAAATCATAATTTCTCAGCTTAAGCTTCAGAGCTCAGATTTTGCACTGTAAGTCCATAACACTTACTCTCTGCTTTAAGCAAAACAAAACCTTCTTTTTCTCTTCTTCTCCTTTCTTCTCCTTTCTTCTTCTTCTTCTTCTTCTTCTTCTTCTTCTTCTTCTTCTTCTTCTTCTTCTTCTTCTTCTTCTTCTTCTTCTTCTTCTTCTTCTTCTTCTT